ATAGTTTAAAATAACAGTCATTAGATTTAATATTATTAATAAGCTTTTTAATTTATTTTATAAAATATGATGTATTAGAAATGATTATATGATCTATATTTTAAAATATTTCAAAATTGATGCTTATTGCATTAATTTATTTGATAAATTGTAATAAACTTGAATAATTAAAACTGATTTCGACCTCTAATACACTTTTATAAATTACGTTTAGTTAAAAAAATTTCAATTTTTTTAATTTTGCTCGTCTAAGTGTAAATTGTTAATTGTAAAAGTGTATTAATAAAAATTTTATCTAAATTATTTCAAAATTTCAGAATATATATAATTTTGCCTTCTGAACAAGTTTACTTAGAACGTTATTATTAATTTACTAACGCTAAATATATTTTTTTAGCTTTTATATAACTACGATATTTGATTATTTAAAAAAATAATTTTTAAAAAAATTTTTATTTACCAAAACCTCTATATAATCACCAGTTTTGGTATCCCAAAGGTGTGATTATATAGAGGTTAGACTATATATGTCGACCTTTTTTTTCGTAAAAGTGAAAACGATATATAAAAAATTTAAATTTATAAATATAATATAGTTTGATTGGTTGATTGTCACATGTTCATATGATCGACCAATCACGAGAAAGTTGTGACGCAGGGGTACTAAACGTATTAAGTTGTTATCTACCTTTAATTGGTTACATTTTTATTGGTAACGTTGCGGAATTTTCATTGGAATATTTGAAGATATGGAAGTCCAGCAGGGTTCCAACTTCCAAACAACTATGAGTGATAGCATACAACATCAACCTACTGATACTTCAACTTTAGACGCGTCGACCGAAAGCAGTTCACATCCGGATCATACGAATGATCATGCGAATGCACATGAATATTCTGAATATACGGCTGAAAAAAACCAAGAATATCTTGAGTCCATCAGAAGAGAAACCGCCGAAAAAACACCACTCGTATGTTCGCCTGAAAGTATTGAGAATTTATTAAAAGAATATCTGCATGGTAGTGAAGTATATCAACAGAAGATCATGGTTTGTTGTATTCTTTTGCAAATGTCAACAACAAGCCATCTGCCAATGATTGTCACCAAGAACTTATTTTTTAATCACCAATCGCCATCATGTTAGAAATTGGCAGAGAAACATCATACAATAAGACGTTGCAGAGGCGATGGCAGCTGTTTTTATAGGGGTAATATATTTGCATTACTAGAAATAAATGTGAGAAAAGGATTAATTAATAAGCTAGTCATTCATGTATTATCTAGCCTTTGGATTTGCGTGGTTCGAACGACTTTTAAATTCTAAAGACCCAACAATTCATCAAAACGCACTCGAAACGTTGACTTATACGAAAAATCAACTTCTTCCACTTTGGTATGAAGAATTGATTTATGAAGACATGTATGAAGAAGTCGAAGGACATTTAAAAGCTATTGTAGAAGGAAAATATGGTAGTGACAAATTGTTATCCATCTTTCAAGATGAAAGTATCTCTAATCAAATAGTCATGTATCTTCGATTTGTCACAACGGCCTACTTGAAAAAACATTTTAATGAATACGAACCATTTCTTGATTGTGATTTGGAAATGGATAAGTATTGTAGTAAATATGTGGAAGGTATGGATAAAGAGGCGGACCATATTCATGTCCTTGTATTGACACGAGCTTTAAAAGTTCCGGTTGAAATTGCTTACATGAGCAGCTCCGATGCGCTTGATCAAGTCAATTTTCATGAATTTTATCCAGAAGAGGTCTCAAAAGGTGTTTTATATATGAAACCTTTGGTGCTCCTCTACAGACCTGGGCACTATGATATTTTATATCGTAATGAATGAATTAACTTTACAAATATTGTATTTGATGAATGTACACATATAGAATGTAATATTCAGCATTTAATAAAATGTTAACATTGTATGATTTTAAATTGCTAACTGATTGTAGCATTTATCATTATTGTATGTGTATTAATTATTTTATTGAATACGTATGCTAATAAATTATCTAGTGACAGGGTCAAATAATTTGAAGTAAAAAGAGTCCGTTGACAAAAATGGTTTGCGATGTTGGTCACCTTTCCTGTCATTAAAGTTTGTGAATTGCGAGTTGGAAGTTATACCTGATCATGCAAACGATAACATTGACAATTATGTTTCTAGCCTAATTTCTAAGTAGGATTGACTGTTTAAAAATTGCTCCATAGTTCCGGGCAGAATTATATTGGTCGTGGGCCGGAATTATTTTAATGCCAGCCAAATTAAACGATTAAGAAATTTTAGGTGGTTCCAATCCCTACTAATTTCAGCCAATAAAAACGAATTTTTTCATCATGCTAAGACTAATGAACGCGTTGTCTAATTAAAGTTATACAATATTCAAATGTTCCTTAGAAGAATTCTCTTTCACACCAGTCACGACCTCATTGCACCTTTAGCCTTCACTTTATCACTTCCTTCTTCTGATCCAAATTTTATCAGCCAACGACGGTTATTGGCTTCTAAAAAGAAAGTTGGCGGGAAGAGTGATAAAAAGGATAAGGTAGCCTTTAAAGAAGAGGGCGATATAGAAAACAAAGAGGATGCAAACTATAGAACCTTTGATATGACCAGTATTACAACTCAAATGAATTCTATCATCGGAAGGCTAAAAAAAGAATATGGTACAATGAGGATCGGACAGGCAAATCCGGGTTTGTACCATGCATAATTAAATATTTTTCGAATTAAACGAATTTCATGTTAATAATCAAATTTCTCAATTATCAAGGCATTCTTGATTCCGTGATAGTACCTCATAAAGATGGCAGCACACCTTTAAGGGAACTTACGCAAATTACAGTCAAAGATCCACAAACCTTATTAGTGCACGTACACGATGAAGAAGTATGGAAAGCATGAAGAATTACTGATAATGCGATTCCGAATCGAAGAAGTGGTTATGGATAGGATACATATTAAAAAGTTATTTTTTGCCCAACTTAATCCATAGATGTTAAAAGCAGTTGATAAAGCTATAAGATGCACAAATCTTAATTTAAATCCAATGATTGATGGAAAAGGTCTTAGAGTGCCTATTCCAAAGTAAGTCATTTGAGCTTCTTTTCAACGACTTACTTTTATAATTGCTCAAGGTTGTACCGATTGTTTTATGTTCTCACCATTCCCATAGAGTCACGACGGAATTTCGTGAAAAAATGATCAAAATCGCGTCCAAAATTGCAGAAAATACAAAAACAAAGCTTCGCCTTGCAAGGCAGGACGGATTAAAAGATCTAAAAAAAGACAGTAAGAATGGATTGCCGATTGATAAAGCAAAATTATTGGAAAAACAGGTATTCTCTCGTTATTTTTTTAGAAGTGAATGGTTGAAGACTACTAATCGTAATGGAATTATATATATATCTTTTAAGTTTCAATTATTAATAGATAAATATGTAAAGGAAGTCGATGATTTCTTTAAAGCAAAATCGAAAGAAATATCAGGAAATTAATAACAAATATTTAGTGTATATGTAAGTTTCTAAAAGTTTACATGTTTTCCTAAGAGATTAACAGAACTGAATAACATTTTGGAGATATGATAATAAACTTGAGACACTAATATCGACAATGACGTTTCATGGCCAGTCTGAGATCCATTATCCTATATCTATATTAAGGATTTTTTTACCGATTTAAGATTTTTTGTGTAGCTATATTTGTCTTCTACATTCGCGTACTTGTCATGCTGTGTTACGAATTATATAGCCAAACATTCTAAGAGCCTATATCATACTATGATAAATAAACAATTCAAGCCGTTTTATTGGTCTACTAGGTGCATATTTGAAAATTTGTTTAACATTCTCTCGAAATAGGTCTTTTTTGCTTTACCCCGACACAAATCTTTTAATAAAAAAAACCGATAAACCGAACTTTTATTACTTTTAACAGAATTATTTGTTTCTTGACTAACCCATTCTTCCTTCCTTTGACAAGCCCTTTATATCTTAATAATGTCACCAAGTGCAGTTGCAGCCACTAATGGCATCGGCATCGCGAATTTGCCGAACCAACGTCACAAGATTGTAGCAAAGAGAGGAACTAACTTTACTTTAATGGTTGTTGGTGAGTACCCTTGTTGTAGCTCTTTAAGATCTCATTCGAGGACACCGCAAAAGCTTCAAGAGAATGCTTCTTAGTATCTAGATGAAATTGATGTCAAGCGAATACTTAATTTTCAATAAAGTTATATCTAAACTTGTTTTGTTTATTACTAGGTGAATCTGGTCTCGGAAAAACTACTTTTATCAATACTCTTTTTACGACTACAATCAAGGAAAAGAAAAATCAAGCCAAACGGCATGCTAAGCAAACCGAAAAGACTGTTGAAATTGAAATAACAAAGGCTGGTAGGCATTATAACATTAAGCATTTGTTGCATATATTCCTTTTGATATTGATTTAAAAATTTATCTATTTATACCTATCTATTTATCAATTGTTGTTTGTAGAGCTTGAAGAAAAAATGTTTAATGTAAAACTTACGGTCATCGATACTCCTGGCTTTGGTGACTATGTAAACAATCGAGAAAGTTGGTTACCAATTGTCGAATTTATCGATGACCAACATGAGTCATATATGCGTCAAGAACAACAGCCACTTCGTAAAGAAAAGTTGGATATGCGTGTTCATGCTTGCCTTTATTTCATTCGCCCGACTGGACACACGTAAATGTTCAAATTTCTATTTCGCGTTTTTATGATATTATATAACACGTATATTATATTTTCACAGCTTAAAACCTTTGGATATTGAGATTATGAAGCGCTTGGGCTCCCGTGTGAATTTAATTCCAGTCATTGCTAAGGCAGACACTCTGACGCCCAAAGATTTAGAAACATTTAAGAGAAGAGTAATAAATATTTTGAATATTTAGTTTCATCTTTTTTGCAATTTAAATTTCAATCGAATTAATATCCTGTTTTGTTATACAATTTTAGGTTAGAGAAGTCATTGCCGCTCAAAATATTCAAGTTTACCAATGTCCAACTGAAAGTGATGATGAAACAAGTACCAAACGAAATATGGACATTATGGTAATTGTTATATTTTTATATCGTTTGGAGTAAATAGAATAATTCTAATCACATGTTACATCTTATACCATGTTCAGGCTGCTATGCCATTTGCAATCATTGGTAGTGACGAAGATGTTATTGCCCTTGATGGCCGTAAGGTAAAGGGAAGACAATACAGTTGGGGTATTGCTGAAGTCGAAAATGAAGATCATTGTGATTTTAAAAAGCTTCGTGCTCTTCTTATTAGGTAAATTTCCTTGTCATTTTAAGTATATATGGTTTATGAAGGTCTTATATATTATTTTGATTCATAGAACACACATGTTAGATCTTGTCTCTACTACCGAAGAGACACATTACGAGAACTATCGTCAATCACAAATGGAAACCAGGAAGTTTGGTGAACCTAAGTATGTTGAATAATTGTTTAGTTTATTTGACCGCTATTATTCTAAAATTAATTATGCTCAACTCAATGTAAAACAGGCCAAAGAAACTTGATAATCCTAAATTCAAAGAAGAAGAAGAAGCTCTTCGAAAGAGGTTCACAGAACAAGTTAAGCAGGAGGAGAATCGCTTCCGACAATGGGAACAACATGTAAATATTCAATAATTACTCGAATAATATGTTTTTGTACCTCTCTAACTTCTTTTTTTTGGTTTGATTATAGCTTATTGCTGAGCGTGATCGTCTTAATAAGGATTTAGAGGCAGAACACTCTCATATTAAAACTTTGGAAGCTGAATTGGAACAGGTTCAAGCAGGAACATCTAGAGGTAGAAAGTAGATAGGAAATTTACCTTTAAGCTATATAATTTTTATTGTCCATCCACTTTTTCCTCTTAATTAATCTGATTGAATATTTATTGAATTAACTTTCTTTTTTTTCTATTGAGTAGAGTATAATTAATTATTTTTTTATTAGGCAGATGTATTATATATGCTATTTTACTGTTATCGTTTAATTTTGTATGGGGTTCGGTATTACAACTTTTGGGAACTAATATAAAAAAAAAGAAATAAATTAATAGATTATTACATAACGTTACATTAATTGTCGTTCTTTATTACCATCTTTAATTTTTAACTTTTATTATATTTTTTATTTATAAGTTTATGGGTTTAAGTTGAAATTATTAAACCATTAATCGGATTCAGATTTGTTGAATTTTGAATTAAATATTTAATTAGTTTATATAAACTATTTATTCCATTTATAAAATAGTAATAATGTAATACTAAGTGGTATAAAAAGTTTATTTCTTAGATAAAAGTGCAAAATTTTGAGTTTAGCAAAATAACATAGAAATTAGTAGAAAAAGAATAAATTTTTTTAAATAAAAATTTTTTCAACTTTTTTAATTCAAATACAGTCCCTCACACACCATCGAGCCTACCAAAAGTGTGCTTATAGAAAATGTGCTTATATATGGAACTATTTATATATATTAATAGTAGTTGGTTCAAAAATTAATATGCTTATATAGTTGATGTGCTTATATATAAGTAGTGTTCTGCACGGTGCCAATTTGCCTGGCACATAAACTTATTACAACTATTATTATAATGGCCGGCGACTTTTTAGACATTGGCACAGGCACCGACATTGGCACTAGTACCTGGCATTGGCTATGTACTTGACATGGGTATTTGCAGCCTTTATATAGAAGGTACTTATATGGGTGTAATTCTATTTCAATTAAAGTTTTTATTTTAATTTTATATAATTCTAATGAGTTTTTGTATAAGTCTAGTTGTCACTATGTTAACATTTTGAATATTGATAGTTTTTTATTAAGGCATTTGATCAGTGTTTCTATTTGTTTATTCTTTGTATTTATATATTTGCTTTTATTTAGTTTTTTAATTTTTTTAAAATATAATTAGTTGGCATTTGTGCAACAGTTGTACCTTGTATGAAGGAACACAAACTGGTACCAGGTGGTGTGAACCTATGATAAGTCCTCATGGTTATGTAAATTACAAGAACCAGGAAGATGAGAGCTTACTTAAAAGAACTGAATAAAGAGATAGCTTGAATTTTTGATAGTGCTGCTGTAAAGACTAGATCTATAAAACAAAGTTAGAACTTATAAAGTTAGATAAAAACAAGTCAGTCTTTAGAAAGAGGTCATTGTAATTAACCAAGCTGTTAGGATCTATTCTGAAAAAAAAAATTATATGTTAGAAAAACATGTAAACCAGAAGTATGATTGTATTTATCTTTTTAACTAAGAGTTTGGTAGAACTTGAATTAAATGCCAAAATAATAGAGATATGTTGTGATTAAATACTGAAGTTGTGTAAATTTTACAAGAACATAACAGTTTAATAGTATGTTCTGACTGTAAGTGTTGGTTTCAATAATAGTATTATTAGGTTGGTTGTAAGAATAAAATATAGAAGATTTTGAAAGGTTTAGTACAAGGTTAAAGGTTTCTTATATAAATAAACTGCTTTAAAAACTTAGTAATCATGGCATATTTATATCAGTATTAATTAGAGCAGCTTAATAGATATAGATAGTTGGATAGATACAGAAATTAGAATATTTAAATAAGGAACTTATAAGCAGGTTCTAAATATAACAACTAGTATATATAAAATCTTTGAAAAACTACTTAAATTAGATAATGATTAAAATTGTACAAGTAATTAGTTGTATACTCTTTTTATAATTGTTTTTTGTAGTTGTAATGCAACTATTAGCTAAATATATTATCAATAAAATCCCGAGTTACAAGTATTTATCTTAATACGTATTTAAAAAATAAAAAAAATACAATTAGTTATATATTTTAAATTATTGTTTAATTTTATTTTTTTGATTATTAATATAAATTTCTATTCTATATCTGTTGTGAAATTATAAATATTTTTAACAAATTGGTTTATAGAATTTTAATAATTATTTCTTTTAAAAGAATAAGATATTAGTTTTTTAAAAGATTTTTTTATTGTTTGTGTTTTATAGCTTAGTAGTTAAGTTCTTAAGCCTATATAAATAAGATTAATAGTTTAAGAAAGTGTATAATATAAACTAAGACAAACCAGGCTTGTATAAATTAAAACTAGATTCAAGAAATATTTTAAAGCCTAGATCTATTTTAGAAAAAAAAATCTTTTAATAAATAGGCCAAATTGGTTTTTTTTAAAAACTAAACCTAATCAAAATTTGGCTTAATGGGTTTTTAATAAGATTGACATATAGTAAAAAGATAAAATAAATATATTAAAAAAGTTTTATATACATAAAGTCAAAATTTTGATTTTATTCACTAAATTAATATTAAAATCTTTTAAATAATTGTTATTTTACTTTTAGAATATTATATCTTTACTTTAAAACTAATGTCTTATTAATTTATTAATTTTATATAAGATAAAATTGTAAGCAAATAAATATTATCAAACCTTTAAAAAATCAACATCAAAAATTTTATTTATAATTTTTAATTTTATATATATATAGAAAACATTTTGTTAATATGTATATCATAGGCTTTAAATAATAAATTATTAACTATCTAATCTGATTAAAACTTTAAATAATCAAGCTGTAAAATATAAATTTTTAAAAAAATTATATAATAAATTATTATTTTTTAAAAAAACATTTTTATCTTAAACAGATTTTTTATACTATTAAAATACTAAGTTTTTTGTTTAGTTTCAATTTTATTTAAATTGTTTATTTGTATTCTTATTTTATACAGACTTTTGTAATATTGAAATATTTTTATATTATTTTTTCAAATGCCAAAATAATAATTTTTTTTAATATTAAGAATAGATTTTAATGTAGATTATTTTTTATATAACTATAATAGTAATTTTTTTAATATTTTAAAAAATTTTATTAAGTTAATTTTTTTAAATTTTTAAGTAAGTTTGTAAATAAGTTTTTTTGATTCTAATAATAGTAAAATTATTAAAATTAGTTAAATATTTAATAAGAAATATATTTAAAGATTAAATATTATTTTTGTTATATAATAATTATATGATATGCAGTCAGCATTTATCGATATCGGCCTTGAGCCCTCGCGAGCCGAACTTTGAGCAGCGTCTGCTCGATTTCTTAAATCAATCAAAATTATTAATTTTGTATAACTATAAAAAATTTGAAATTATTATAAAAAGCTTTATAATATATATAAGTATATTTTTTTAAATATTTTGATTGTAAAATTTTATATTATTATAAAAATATGATTTATTATATATATTATAAAATTTTAATAAAAATTAATTATAATTATAGAAAGTTTTATTACAATAATAATATTTTTTAATTTATTATAAAAATTTTAATTAAATATGCAAATTATATAATAAAATAATTTATATATATTCTATTCTTAAACTAGTTTTTTGAAGCTAAAATTTTTTATTTAGTATTATAGAATATAGAATATAGAGATTCATAACTAAAACCTTAATGAAATACTTTTACATTAAAGTATAACTAGTTATACATATACTTTTGATGTCTAATTTAAGTAGTTTAATTATAGTTCTATATAAGTTACTATATCTGCAATTTAACTATAAACATTATCTATTTAAATTCTTTGTATTGTAATCTTTATAGTATTTTTAAAATATCTCTAATATATATATTAGTTAAGAAGTTTTAGATACTTACTTGTATTTTTAAAACATTATATCTTATTTTATATAATGTATTCTTAAATTATTATTATTAAAGTTTTTTATATTTTATATATAACTAATCTAATTTTTTACAATATGTTTTAAGTTATAACTATTTTGTTAAACTACTATATTATATTATTTCTACTTTTATAAAGTTTATCCAAACTTTATTACTTAACTTTTTAACATCATTTCTATTATTTCTTACTAATTCTCTTATTTAGTACTAACCAAACTTCTTAAATTATCAATTTAGATAGTTCAGTATAGTATACTTTTATATTTTTTTCTTTTAACAAATTCTAGTATTTTAGTTGATCATATGTTTTTTTTATATATCTTTGTTTAATAAATTTTTTTATGAGTTTTTATTAGTATAATAATACTATTAAATGTTTGTGTTATCTTATTATTTAGAAATTTTTATATGAGCTTTTTATTTTTTTTAGTTTAGTTTTCTGTGCTTAGTAGTCTTATTATAAGCTTATACTGAAGTCTTATACAATAATAGTTTTAATAGTTTTCTATATATATATTATATTATACTTTAAATAAATATTTTAAGTTTTTAATATTAAGTAAACTTTAATTTAGTATATCTAAGATTACAAATATATAAATCTAACTAATTAACAAAAGACATTTATTATAATATAATTATAATTTTTAAGTTTTGTTATAAGTAAGATTTGAATACTAAATCTGTTAGTTGAAAATTAACAACTTACTAATTACTTCAAGTTACATCTTATTTTTGTTTTAGTTATTATATTAGCAACATAAGATTTTCAAGTTAAAAAAAATTATTATCTTTAGAAGTTTAATGAGAAATATTATTATTTTAAAATAAATATATTATTTATGCTAAAATTAGATTCTTGTATTTTCATAGTAGTTATTTGATATATATATATATATATATATATATATATATAGTATATATATTTATTTAAGAGATTGGATAAAAACTAAATTTAGGCATGGTTTTACTATTAATATTAAAAAAATTCTCTCAAATTTAATATATATGTATAAATTTTAATACTTTAAAAAAACAATTATAATAATATTTAATATTATAAATAAATAATTGTATTTAAAAACATGTTTAAAACCAATAACTATATAATTACTAATTAACTAATTTAATTTGTAAAGTTTTTAAGTTTTTATAAATATATTAACAAAAAATTTTTGTATTTTATATACATTTAACAAAATAAAGACTAATATAAAATATTAAAAGAGGTATAACAATTTAGCAAAATAGATAAGTTATTAACTTTTAAGTATTAAATTTAGTATTTAAATTCTATAGTTAACAAATTTAAAAATTATATTTGTATTATAATAACTGTTTTTGATCAATTAGTTGAATTTATAGATTTGTAATTTTAAATATATAAAGTTAGGTTCTATTTAACATTAAAAACTCAAAACATTTATATAAAATATAATATTATATATAGATAAAAAACTAATATTAGAGGATGGTAATTCTATTGTAGTGATTGGTTGTCATCCTCCAAGTGGCAGATTTAAGGTTTAAATTCCATCTATAATGAAATTTAAAAATTATATCTGTGTTATGATAACTGTCTTCTGTTAATCAGTTAGTCTCATATCACTGTTACTCAGATACACCAAGTTGGGTCTTATCGATATTAGGAGCTTAGGCATCTATATGAAGTATAATGTTACATGTATATAAAGGAATATATAACTGGTGTTGCATAAAACTTCAGTGCAAATCCATGATAAAACCATCAAGTGTAAAAGACTAAGAAACCAAGATGACAGAAACCCACTTGGAAATTTCTAAGTAAAAAGGTAGCATAAACTTTCAACAGTATTATTAAACTAGTTAAAGCCTACAAAACATCTTTATAGAAACCAAAAGTTAAAACTGATATCAAATATGTGTAAAGAAGTATATAACTAACCAGACTGCCAGATTCACTAGAGAAAAAGAATACAGAGTATATTATACCAGGCCATCTAGATTGGTAGTCTGGAATGAGACTAATAGTTTTGAGTTGTGACTAGTAGAAAATGATAGAAAAGATGCCAGAAAAATATGTACTAGGGTTTTAGTGAACTTTATAAAAGTAGAAATAGTGAAATGTAATGGTTAAACAGGTAACCTCTGTAACTGCAAGTATTAGGTAACTATAGCATATTGCATAAAACTAGACTTATATATGTAGAATATAAAGGCTTTAGTAAGTTTTTTGTCAAGAATAAACTAGTCCTAAGGGTAACAACAAGCATTGAAAACTTGGATAGATGTAGCTTTAAGATGTTCTTGTAATACAAAAAGGATTGCATATGCAGAAAGTTTAAATAGACAAGACCCCTAGTTGGCTTGCAGGTGTAGCAACTAATATAAAACTTATATAGCAATGTGTAAGTGAACTATTTAAATTAGGCATCAAAAGTGCATATATGGCTAGTTGTAACCTTCAATATAAGGTGAACCTCTAGTGACATGCTGTGTTTTAATATACATGAATAAAAATGTTGCATCTCTAAGATAGGGACTTTAACTATAAAAAAAAAAAAAAAAAAAAAAACTAGTATTATATAAAAATTTAGTACAAACTTATAATAAGACTATTTTATTTATTATATTCTTTTTAATGATTACTTAAATACAAAATTAACAAAAAGAAAAAACTGACTTTTCTTACAACCAGTAATAGAAAACTTTCTATATAGCATTAAGCTAAAAGAAGCAGTACCAAAAATACACTAAACAAGTTAAAGAACCTAAAGCAACATAGTGCTATTAGAGCAGTTACAAAAGAAAAGCAAAGTTTATAAAAATTTTAGCAGTAAAATGACAATTGTGAAGATTATCACTTGATCCTGAATGTAGATCTGTTTATAGTATATAAAAGTTACATAGCAGATTAAGCAATAACAAATATGTATAAGTAATTAATTTAAGAATAAACAAATTAATATATAGCAATAAATAAGAAAACAGAAGCAAGGTAAACAAAAAAATCTTCTAGAATAGTATAGCAATAAATATAGAAATGAATAAAAGTTTGTCTAAAAAGTATAGAAACAATATTAAAGCAATCTGTATAAAAAGAGCATACTGGGCAATAAGCAGTATATATAATAAGATTTTCTTCAATAAAGTCAGCAATCATATACAATGCTAGATAGAAAAAATAGAATTGTAATAATGCTTACCAAGCAAGATCTAAACAAGGTAATGCTTTTATAAATAACAAGAAAGATAATAAAAAAAGCTAAAAAAAGAATAGCCAAAAAAAAGGCTAGATATAGTAAAGCAAATACAAAAGGCAGCAGTAATAAAAAAAAAGAATGCAATAGCAAAAAACTGTATTAATAGAAAAACAAGAAGATCTGCACAAAGCAATGCAAAAAAAAAACACAGTTAACAAAAAGTTAGAAAATAAAAAATTACAAGATGTCAAAATTATACAAAAAAAGGCAGATGCAGAAGTAAGTTATTTAGATAACAGACAAACAGAAATATAGCATTTTATCCAAAAAAGAAAATTTAAAAAACAGCCAGAAGAGCAAGAACAAAATGTGTCAAAATTGAAGAACGTTACAAAACAAAACTTAATAAAAGAAGAAATAACAAGTCAAGAAAAAAATTAAAAAAAAATTAAGAAATTAAAAAAAATTGATATAGTCAGAATATTACTTAAGAAAAGCATTCGAGCATTAATAAAAAGAAACAGCAACTGAAACAACAGCCTGCTTGCCAACATATTAGAACATAATATGCTTAAAATAACAAAAAATATATATATAATTTATTAAATAGTTACTAAAAGACAATAAACATATTAAAAACATTAAAAAAGTCTTCAAAAGATAAAACTTGTAAATAAAAGTAGATGTTAATTATAAATATAACAGAAATGAAGCAATATAAAGAATTAGCAAAAAAGAAAGTGATTGGTATAAACTAATACCAAAAGAAAGAGAAAACAAAAAAAAAACAAAGATTA